TAGGTCAGGGTTAACAATGCTGCACTCAGAAGAGGTGCTAAACGAGGGGGCTCTGGCACAGCTTATGTGATTGTTAAAACAGTTTCTTGTGTCCTTATTAAAAACTAAAATCAGTTAAAAGGTATCCCTACTAAAATAAGTGAATTAACATAATAAGGACTTAGGTAAATAAAAAATCAAATAAAATAAGACAGGACTGGGCTCAGCAGGAGGGAGTTTTTCTTGTTTTAAAATAAATATATAAATTATAGATAGGGATGGTCCGATATATTGTTCCGGCCGATAATTCATCTAAAAAATGTAATAATCGGGAATGTATCGGTATCGGGGTTTTTATAACCCGATGTTTTTTGTTCTGTAAGGCTTCAGCATTTCTGGCCTGCATGAACGCAGCATGGGACGTTTACCGGCGCGCGCTATGATGACGTTATAACAATCCAACAACTACACGCTAGACTGGTTTGGCTTGCTAACCGTGGCTACAAGCAAACAATTTAAAGCTGGAATGGATTTGTAATATTAGACTAACGACAAAAGTAGGAGGTGCAATGCACCTAGAATAGTTTTACCCTGCTATGAGCTGTTTTCTTTTAACGAAACTTAACAATTGGCTTATGATGTTACGATTAAAGCACTACTTCCTGTCAGCGGGGTTTTTTTTTTTGGCAAAAATAAAAATACAAATTAAACACCATTAACCAAAGCTAGCGGCTTAGCGCGTAGTCTAGCCGATTAGTGTATAGCCGGCTCTTTTTCAGTATTATAACAATGAAAGTTGAAGTTGTTCTCTTTATTTGCACAGACGTATTTAATTTGTATTGCCATTGTTGCATTTGCATGCATCCAAAGTTGGGCCAATCACAATAAAGATTTGACATAATGTGCTTATTCCACAAATAGGAGAATGTTATATTGTGACCTTGACAGTTTTGTTTGTGTAGTATGTTGTTACCTAACAGTTTTGGTGTAAAAAGCCTGCATATATCGGTATTGGGTAATATCGGTATCGGAAATTGAGAGTTGGACAATATCGGAATATCGGATATCGGCAGAAATGCCAATATCTGACATCCCTAATATATATGTATATCCCAAGTCAGTATGGTATCTCCCCCGAGTGTTAAAAGGTAGGGCATGCCTCTATGTTGGCCTCAAGGTGACTGGAATAAATTAAAATGATTTTCAAAAAATTATTTAATAAATTAATGTGAGTATATACTGAAACACATATATATTTACACATATCTATATATATGCACATATATGTGTGAAGTCTAAATAAAATTAAAAATGTATATTGTAAAGGACAAACAGACATAGACAATCATATTAATCTAAATGTGAAACTGGGCGGGCAAACACATTTAAAACATGTAAAATAAGTGCTATGAAAATAAGTGCTTAAAAACAAGTTAGTATAAAACACAAAGGGGGAGGGGGGGAAGTCCTATGTGTTTGTCCGCTCGTATACACATCTACAGTCTTTCAATACCATTCATTACCAATATATTAAGATTATATAAAAAAACATAGTAAAACAGTCACCTCCATATACTCAGACATACATGTAAAATTTAAGGAATTTAAAATGCTGAGTGAAGCCAGTGGGAGACATGCCCCCTTTCCGTTAGTGTCAAAAAAGTTTCTAAAATTGCCGTCGGCACCAATGGTCCCACACTCTTTAAAAGAAATGACAAATTCCTCTCTGCGTGTTATAAAATTAAAGAATAAATTAAAATAGATAGAAAATTGTAAAATTCATAGTACATGCAAAATAATTTTCAACAGTACCACTTAAAATTTCATTAGTGGGACTGTTGATAAAAACGTCTAACAATAAATCAATCAATAAAATAAATAAATATACAGGTAATAAAAGGATAATATAAAACTCAATAAAAGGTTAATACAAAAACACACACGTATCAGGTTAGTAAAAATTGATAAATAAATATTTAATCAAATTGTTAAACAAACACGAGGAACATGCAAAATCCATAAAAGTTCCAGTTTAAACTGTAAAAGGGAGGGTGCCGTACTACAAGGCGACCACGACCTCTAGGGGAGACACCATAAACTGCACCAAAGGTCCATAAAAACCAAGTTTAAAAAGTGGATTTATTCTTTTAATATTTTTAATTTACTCCGTTCGGATCTATGGTTTTAAGTTTATGTATCCACTTTCTCTCCGCCGCCCGATAATCTAATACAAATTTAGAAGAAGGGATAAAATCTGATACAAATTTATGAAAAAGGAAATGTGGGAACATAGGGCCTAATTTTGAAAAAAATGTTAGAAATGTGGGAACATAGTGTACATGTCTGATAAAAATTGCATTAATATTCTCCTACACAGTATTATTTATGTGCTTAACAAGGACACTTGTAGTTCTACAGATGCCACCTTGTTGTCTGTTTCTGCTTTTATTTTGAAGAGCACCGTTTTCTTCTTCTGATGTTTTTTGTGACGCTAAACTTCCTGCTCTCTTCACAATGTCGTGCTCACGCATGGTTGGAGGAATGGTAAAAACTTTAAAAACACATTAGATATTTATCGTGTTCATCTGTTTGAATCCTGTAAGGAGGATTCAAAAAGCACTGTCCAGCAGCTGGACAAACTGTCTGTGTTTCCAGGTGGTGAGATTAGTATACAAAGAATATTTCTGTCCTTCTCTGTTGCAGTACATCGTAGCTGGATCTCTAACAGTGGCTGCTGGGAAATCTTCAAACTGGTGTCTGGTTAGTAACTTACTATTACTGTTAGTAGGAATGAGTTAGTACACCATTATCTGTATCAATATTTGTATCTGAATATGTAAATTAAACGTATTAATACTCGGGGGCTGGAAGAGGCTAGTCTGAAGTTATTCATTTAAGCCTGAAATTGATATAGGTTGAACAGAAGTTGCAATATTTATTAGAAATCTATTAACCTAATTGAGCTTCAGAGCAATGTGTTTGCTAAAGTAAGATAACTACAAAGAAGACATTATACAAAAAAAGTACACTGTCTGTACTGGCCACTTGTTTCGTTAAGTACTTGCTCAACTCTAACTGTTACCATCCTTTTAATATGTCTTGGCTATCGGCTCATTAATCACTCTACTCAGTAACAAGTTGTCATTCCTCATAGGCTTTCTTAAAATGATCACCAGCAGAACCTCTATGACTACGTTCACACTGCAAACCTTAGCACTCAATTCTGATTTATTGCTCAAATCAAATTTTTTTGTTTCTGTTTGGCTGTTCACATTACTTTTTAAATGTGGCAAATATCAGATTACATCTAGGTCAAGGTCCTGAAGTGACCCACATGACAAATCTAGTCTAGAGTGATGTAAAAGTCACATGAATTCTGATATGACTATTCACACTGAGATTTGGGCCACATATAAACATGGCCCAAATCAGAACTGAAAAGGTAAGATTCCATGTGATTTGTGGCTTGGCCAATGATACTGATTTAATAATAATGATAATATAATACATTTATTTAGAGTGCTTTTCAAGAAACTCAAAGACACTTCACGTAAGTTAAAAAGGAAAAGAAAAAGGTAATAAAAACAACGCACAAAAAAATAAATATATATAGCTATATCTACAACACAATGAATTAAACATTAAAAGCAGTTCTGAATAGGTGGGTTTTGATTAGTGATTGGATGGATCAATACAGTCTCGGATTTGTTTGGGGAGAGAGTTCCAGAGGGAGGGGGCAGCAATAGAGAAGGCTCTGTTGCCCCAGGTACGATGCTTGGCCCTTAGTGGTGGAGACAGGAGGTCGGCTTCGAGAAGGAGTGTGGCGATGGAGCAGGTCTGCAAGGTAGGAGGGGGCCTGGTTGTGGAGGGCTTTGTGAATGAGGAGAAGGGCTTTAAATTGGATCCGTTGTTGAACAGGGAGCCAGTGGAGGTTCTGTAGGACACAGGTGATGTGGTCACGGGTATGGGTATGGTAGATTTCCCCAAATTTAGTAAAAGGTCCAGTGTGTAGATTTAGTGGCCTCTACTGGTGTAGTTTGCAGATTGCAACTTTCCCTTTTCACCCTCCCCTTCCCAAGTGCAAAGGAGAAACTGCAG